ATATATATATATATTATATATTATATATAGATAGATATCTATTTGTAACGTATGTATGTATGTATGTATGTGTGTGTGTTGGTGATAATATACTAATTATATATATATAAAAATAGTGTATATATATCTATATGGATATATATGTATACATACACATTATATAGATATATATTATATATATATATATATATAATATATGTATATCTATATATATATTATATATATATATAATATACATCTATAATTATATATATATTATTATATTATATATATATATATATACATATATATATATATTATATATATAAATATATATATATATTATATATATATATATAAATCTATATAATAGATATGTATATATATAATATATATATATATTATATACATATATAAACTATATATATATATATAATATAATATATATATATATATATATATATATATATATAACATATATATAAATATATAATATATAATATATATATATATCTAATAATATATATATATATGTATATAGTATATATATTATATATATATAAATAGTATATGTACATAAACATTTATATATATAAATATATTAATATTAGAGAGAGACGACAGATAGACAGAAAGATAACCGAGGACGAAGGGAGAAGAAACAGAGATGTATGTATGTATTTCGTATCCTTATCTTGTTTCCCCGCTTTCGAATAGCCGCACCAAATGAGATCTTCGGGATGCGCGCCGAGACTCCGGCCTGTGACTCCAGACTCCACGAGATGAATCGAGAGGAAGCGCGTAGGTTACCTTTGCGCAGGACGTCTCCAGACGCACGTCCTGAGACACCACGGCCATACCAGGAAGCACTGGTCAGCGAAGAATGCCCCGCAACAGCCATCGGCCTTCTTCAGGATACCGGAGGGACTGCGACGAACGAGCCTCACCTCGGAGCGCGGCCTGCAGCGCAAGGGAAGGTTACTCACTGTGTTGCGTTCATGGAGTTCTGAGCTGGTGATGGTAAGACAGCATACTTACACATGCTCCAAGTGCAGCGATGGAATCGTGCAAGCCGGAGGCGGCTGACCTGGACTCTTGGCACATTCGTTTTGGACACAGAGGGTCGCCTTTTTGAGGAACCGCGTCCACTCACGGCTGACGAGGAAGATCTCTTGCCGTCCACACCTTCTTGGCGATTTAAGGTGAACTTCGAACCCGGTATTCTTTTGAAGGTTGCCGCGCTTGTTGTGAACGGCCGTGCCCACGCAGCCACAGGGCTCAGTAAGACGGTTTCCAGAGCAGATCACAAAGTCGCTGCCCTCTTTTCGCTTTGTTTTCGTTGAGGTACAGCGCATCCCTCTGGAAGAAGACCTTGGCGCTCGCCCCGGCTATCAGGTCAACTCTCCACCGTCCAGGATTCCGGTATTAATCATGACTTTGTAATATGCGGGCGTGCCAATTACACGTATCCTGTCTGAACAGGAGCCTAGGGGAAGAGGATCCTCGGGGTCCCCTTTACTCCCGGATTTCCTCCTCGTCGTAATTAGCCAGGCACGCGTTAAGGCTCGACATTACGCGTGTCATTTTCGAGGATTCCGCATGGTGGCGTCCGGTCTGCCGCGGGAAAGGCACAAAATAGCCGCGTAATTCATCACAGTTTAAGTATGAGGTAAACCATAGGAAAAAAAATCTACCAAGTCATGAAAACAAAGGCTGAACACTAAGAAAAGGTCGTAATTCTGGCATCGCGAAGTTCAAAGTATCCAGTACGAAAAATGATGTGCTAAGATTTGTAGGTACGCTATTTAATTTCCGTAGCTACTTCCCCGTGGTCACAGCCAACATGGAAATAAAAGTATGAGGCAGTTGGTTTTAGTCATTTGTTTATATATGAAATTCAATTACATAGTTGTAACAACGTTT